TATAGCAAACTAAGGACAGATGACATAAAATATACAAAAAAGGCAAAAAACCGTCATTTGAAATTATTCAACAAACGGAAGTGGTTAAAGAGGCAAAGTCGTTAAATAGTACCTCTACTGCGGGTGTTTTTTTCATTTTTTACCTAGATTAAGCTTTTCGTAGAATTTGTGGTCGAGTTTATCACTTGTGGCATAATGAATGGCTGTTTTGGTACTACTGCTTTATATACAAGTAAAGAAAATGTCAATTTATAGCTTTATACTGATTTTCCAGATCAAACCATTATGGCACAGAGTGGAAATGGAGCAGCAAGTAAAAGTGATGTTACATCACATGGTACCGGACAAGAGCTGAACTTTGACGATGACACACTAAAAGGTAAAGATTCTTACAACTGTTAATACTGTATCACCAGAAGGCCTTAAAGACTGCAAACTAAGGACAGATGAAACAAAATATACAAAAAAGGCAAAAAATCGTCATTTGAAATTATTTAACAAACCGAAGTGGTTAAAGAGTTAAAGTCGTTAAACAGTATCTCTACTGAAGGTGGTTTTTTCATTTTTTATCTAGATTAGGCTTTTCGTAGAATTTGTGGTCGAGTTCATCACTTGTGGCATAATGAATGGATGTTTTGGTACTGGTGCTTTATATACAAGTGAGGATAATGTCAATTTATAGCTTGATACTGATTTTTCCAGGTCAAACCATTATGGCACAGAGTAGAAACGGAGCAGCAGGTGAGAGTGATGTGATATTATTCAGTTAACGTACTTCATAACTGCAAAACAGATTGTCGAATACGAAGCAGAATCAGAGAGACCTATAAGTCAAAAGGAAAGAACCACGAATGGGAAAAGAACAAAGTATCCTCTATTTTTTGAAAACCGAAATACACTCAACTGGAAAACGAAGCGCCCTCAACCCCGGTGAAAGAGCCTGCAATAAACCCAATGATATTGTGTTAGTTCTAAACATGCCGAATTTTTTGTTATCTGCTGGGCGATTTTAGCATGGTTTAAGTTGTCGAATTTGTCGATTTTTCTTCGCTGTGTTACGGAGTTCGGTATACCACTAGCCGCTCCAATCTTAATTTTTTAGCATGCGTATACTTCTACTACAAGACCGGGTTCAATAGTGTGATATCGTGCCCAGTTGTGGTAGTATAAAGAGTTTCACTTTAGTGCCAAACAATATTCCCATGGTAATTTGTTATGCGGTTGAAGACCCTCGTTGAACCCATCAACAGAAACGTTTAGAAAGGCTGCATTTATATTAATGGATGACGAAATCCTATGGTGCAACCACAGCACCTTCACATGGTACCATTTATTATAATTATTAACATTATGATTATGATGATGATGTTGATGATGATCATTATTATTAATTGAAAAGGTTATTTCAGTGTTAATCCAATCTTAAGTTTTGGTAGTTTTTTAGGGCAAAAAAAGTGCTGTTGTCAATGTGGTCATAGCCTCCAAATAACTTCAAGTAGCAAACGGGATTTATCTAATTAACAATGTTTTTATCACAAACTTTTATCAACAAAGTATCACTGATCAATAACGAAAGCTGTTGCAAATTATGATTATTATCTCCCTTAACGAGTTCTATGAATCTCCAAGTAAACGTAACCAAGTTTCACTTGCACGAAAATGAAACCTTATGTTTACAGGCGACATTCTAATGATAGCACATTGCTGCAATTGACTCCTAATTCTGTTTTCAAATATGCTTCTGTCACGTGTTACGGAAGTCGGATTGTAACTCCATGCTGCTACTAAGTCGATTGACTACGTAACAAAAAAATAACTGAAAAAAAAAAAACATCGCTCTGAATTTGAAGATGAATCAGCTTACAAGGTTGTCGAAACGTAAGTTCGCAATGGTCGGTTACTAGGGTGACGTGAGCGAGTGGGCCACTGAAATTCTGAAAAGCAGTTTCATGTTTTATTAAGTTGATATATTATATTATTGATATATATTTTGTAATTATAATATTATTGTATTTACATTCTCAATTAATTTATATATTTGTATTTTTTATTCTATTGAGCTGAAAAGCCCACTTAGGGAGCATCAATAAAGTGTATGTATATGTATATGTATGTCTTGATTGAAAGCGCAATGAAAAACTGAATTAGAGTACATGTACTGTCCTGTTCTATGAAAATGACTTCACCGCGAATTTCATGACTGCCCTGCCACATAATTTCAATGAATTTGTTGCAATGAAATGTGCGTTTACCACTTGTGGCAAAATGGATGGTTGTTTTGGTAATAATGCTTATACAAGTGAAGATAATATCAATTTAAAGCTTTTTACTGATTTTTCCAGATCAAACCATTATGGCACAGAGTGGAAACGGAGCAGCATGTGAGAGTGATGTTACATCACATGATACCGAACAAGAGCTGAACATTGATGATGACACACTGAAAGGTAAAGATTCTTACAACTGTTAATACTGTATCCCCAACAAGACTTTAACATAGCAAAATAAGGAGGGATGAAATAAAAGATACAGAAAAGGAAAAAAAAATCCGTCATTTAAAAACATTCAACATATCAAAGTGGTTAGAGAGTCAAAGTCGAAGGTGGTTTCTCAACTTTTTATCTAGATTAGGCTTTTTCTAGAATTTGTGGCCGACGAATGCTGAATTTTCTCCCAGCAGGTATGATTTCTTTTTTCCTGCCAACCCGAAAGATGCACGCTGCCGCACAACACCTTTAATAATAGTGTAAGTTCCGTCTAGCGCTACAAATTTAATGCTTTTCTAGCTTTTTTGGCGTTTTTAACTCTAGAAAGTGAGCATAACTAACGACCAAATTTGCCACTATTCTGTGACCAATGTCATGGTCAACGCCATTTATTAGTGAACAAGTGACACCATTTGCCTAAACGGGGAGTAAATGACCTCTGTCATGATCACTTTTTTTGTTTTAATATGCAGCAGAGAGACGAAGACGGAAATGAACATATTAAAAAGTTGCACACGATAGTCCGTATTGTACTCTTATCTTTTGTTCTCACAATTATAATTCACTATTTTATTTTTTAACATCATGGCAAGTTTCATTCCCAAAGGAGTATTCCGGATTTTAAGAGACGAGGATGAACTAATTAGGGGAAAAATCAAAACCCACAAAAGTTCCCTGAACCAAAAATTAACCCCCAAAAAATCCTATACAGAACTACACACCGACAAAATTATTCACTTAAAATCAAGCCAACTAAGAAAATACTTGCCACATTTTTCCTACCCCAAAAGAATCCCGGAATTGAAAATTTTAAGCCCAAAAAATCCTTCTATCATCGCCGTCAATTGAAATCCGGACTACCTCAACTGGAGTTTCGTTCCAACCCAAATTTCTTAATCAAAAGTTTGCTTATGGCGTACTTCATAACCGCAAAACAGATTGTCGAAGCTGAATCGGAGAGACCTACAAGTAAAAAGGAAAGAACCACGAATGGAAAAAACAAACAAGTACCCTGTATTTTTTGGAAACCGAAATACACTCAGCTCGAAAACGAAGAACCCTCATTGCCGATGAAAGGGTGTGCAATAAACCAAATGGGTCCGTAAATTTGAAGCGTGACCATCCCCTTTGGGTATTTGCGTTGCCTCGACGTACTCTTACCCATTGTTGGGTATTTGGAATCAAATGTTTTGGCTCGGGGAGGGGAGAGTATAGTAGAGTTTTACATTTTTAGCGCCTTACATTGAGAAAGTTTGCGGTATTGTGGTGTTTGGCAAATTTTCATGCGGTACTTATGTAATTGTGGCCTTGAATTCTGATATTGTGGTATTTCTAAACATGCAGAAGTTTTTGTGACTGGCTCGGGGATTTTTAGCATGGTTGTGTCGAATTTCTCGATTTCTCTTTGCAGTGTTACGGTGTTCCGTATACCCCTAGCCGCTCTTCAATGTTTTTTTTTTTTGCGCATGCGTATACTTCTGCCAAAAGACCAGCTTTGATAGTGTGATGTGACCAGTTGCGGTTTTAGAAAGGTTTACCAAACAATATTCCCATGATAATTTGTTATGCGTTTGGACCCATCAACAGAAATAATTAGCAAGGCATTTATAATAACGGATGCTGAAATCCTATGGTGCAACCACAGCACCTTCACATTTTACCATTTATTATTATAATTATTATAACTATTATATTATTATTATTATTACTATTTGAAAAGGTTATTTTAGTGTTAATCCAATCTTAAGTTTTTGTAGTTTTGAAAGTAAAAAAAGTGTTGTTGTTGATGTGGTCATAGCAGCCAAACATCTTTAAGTAGCAAACCGAATTTATATACTTAACAGTGTTTTTATCCCGAGTTTTTATCAACAAAGTATTACCAATGACGAAAGCCGTTGCAAATTATGACGATTATCCCGTTACGTTCTATAAAACTAAAAGTAAACTTTACCGAATTTCACTAGCACCAAAAAGAAACAATATGTTTATAAGGATTATTGCTGCAATTGACTCCTGATTCTGTTTCCAAATATGGTTCTGTCACGTGTTACTGAAGTGGTACTGTTAACTCCCTGCTGCTACTAAGTCGATTGACTAGGGTAACAAAAAAGAACTGCAAAAAACGTCGCTCTAAATCTGAAACTGAATCAGCCACCGAGATTGTCGGAAAGTGAGTTGGCAATGGTTGGTTACTAGGGTGTTCTGAGCGACTTAGCTACTGAATTCTGGAAAGCAGTTTCATGTCTTGAATGAAAGCATAACGGAAAACTGAATCAGATTACGTTACCGTCCTGTTGTTTGAAAATTACTTCACCGCTCATTTCATGACAGCCTGCCACAGAATTTTGATTGATTTGTTCAGTCAATAAAAGTTTTATACTAATGTGAGTTTACCACTTGTCGCAAAATGAATGGTTCTTTTGGTAACAGTGCTTATACAAGTGAAGTTAATATTAATTTAAAGCTTTTTACCGATTTTTCCAGATCAAACCATTATGGCACAGAGTGGAAACGGAGCAGCATGTGAGAGTGATGTTACATCACTTGGTACCGGACAAGAGCTGAACTTTGATGATGACACACTGAAAGGTAACGATTCTTACAACTGTTAATAGTGTATCACTAAAAAGCCTTTAACATACTAAACTAAGCACAAGTAAAATAAAATATACAGAAAAGACAAAAAACCGTCATTTGAAAACATTCAACATACGGAAGTGGTTAAAGAGTCAAAGTCGTTAAACATTATCTCTACTGAAGGTGATTTTTTAACTTTTCATCTGGATTAGGCTTTTCCTAGAATTTGTGGTGGAGTTTACCACTTGTGACAAAATGAATGGCTGTTTTGGTACTAGTGCTTTATATACAAGTAAAGATAATGTCAGTTTACAGCTTTATACCGATTTTTCCAGATCAAACCATTATGGCACAGAGTGGAAACGGAGCAGCAAGTGAGAGTGATGTTACATCACATGGTACCGGACAAGAGCTGAACTTTGATGATGACACACTGAAAGGTAAAGATTCTTACAACTGTTAATAGTGTATCACCAATTAGCCTTTAACATAGAAATTTAAGGAGAAATGAAATAAAAGATACAGAAAGGAAAAAAACCGTCATTTGATACCATTCAACATACATAAAGACTGGAAGTCGTTAAACATTATCTCCACTGAAGGTGTTTTTTACTTTTTGTCTAGATTAAACTTTTTCTAAAATTTGTGGTGGACGAATTCCTTTATCTTGTGGATTCACCGTTACATATAGCCCTGCTTTAGCTCCCGCCAAGTATGATTCCTATTTTCCCGCCAACCCGAAAGATGCACACGCACCTCATAATGGTTTATTAGTGTGAGCTACAAATTTAATACATTTTTAGCATTTTTAACATCAGAAAGTGAGGAACGGAACGACCAAATTTGCACCTATTTCACAAGTCTGTGAGCAATGTCATGATCTAGTACAAACATTAACCATAAAGGACTGCAAAGGACCGCAAATGAATATGTCGGAGATCGTAGGATCCATAAAGACCTGATCAGCAAAAATGAAAAGTGAAAAGTAGACATATTAAATTCTGCAAGCAGAATACTGCAATGCTGACCGTACTACGTGAAAATTAACTCTGCAAGACATCAACACGACACCGAAAGAACTCAAAACAGAGCGAGATTGTAGCCATAGTCATGATCAACGCCATTTATGAGTTAACAAGTGACACCATTTGCCTAACCGGGGAATAATTATACCCGTGGTATTTTTCGTTTTAATCTGTAGCAAACAGACGAAGACGGACTCCCGGATGAACACACAAAAAAGTTGCACACGATAGTCCGTATTGTACTCTTATCTTTTGTACTCACAATTATAACTCGCCATTTTATTTTTTTATACCATAGTAAGTTTCGTTCCCAAGGGTTATTACGGATTTTAACAGACGTGGATGACCAAATGGATGCAAAAATCAAAACCCAAAATTCCCTGGACCAAAAATTAACCCCAAAAATCCTATACAGAACTATGCACCGACAAAGTTCTTTAGTTTAAGTCAAGCCAACTAAGAAAATACCTGTCAAATTTTCCTACCCCAAAAGAATTCCGGAATCGAAAATTTCAAACCCAACAAATCCTTCGATCATCGCCGTCAGTTGAAATCGGCAGTTCCTCCACTGGGGTTTCGTTCCACCCCAAGTTTCTTTATCGAAAATTATGCTTATGACGTACTTCATAACTGTAAAACAGATTGTCGAAATCAAAGCTGAATCGGAGAGACCTACAAGTAAAAGGGAAACAACCACGAATGGAGAAAGAACCAAGTATTTTCTATTTTTTGGAAACCGAAATACACTCAACTGGAAAACGAAGCACCCTCAACCCTGGTGAAAGGGCCTGCAATCAACTACAACTGGTCAGTTAATTTGAAGCGTGACCATCCCTTTGGGTATTTTCGCTGCCTCTGGATACTCTTACCCACAATGGGGTATTTGGAATCAATGTTTGCCTCGGGGAGGGGAGAGTATGGTAGTGTCTGACATTTTTAGCACCTAACAATGAGAAATTTTTTGGCATCGTGGTGTTTGGCAAATTTCATGCGGTACTTCTGTAATTGTGGTCTCGAATTCGATATTGTGGTACTTCTAAACATGTAGAATTTTTCTGTTATTGGCTCGGCGATTTTTAACATGGTTTAAGTTGTCGAATTTGTCGATTTTTCTTCGCTGTGTTACGGAATTGGGCATACCCCTAGCCGCTTCAATTTTAATTTTTTTAGCATGCACATACTTCTACTATAAGACCGCCTTCGATAGTGTGATATCGTGCCCAGTTGTTGTAGTTGAAAGGTTTTCTCTTCAGTGCCAAACAATATTCCCATGGTACTTTGTTATGTGGCTGAAGGCTCTCGTTGAACCCATCAACTGAAACATTTAGAAAGGCTGCATTTATATTAATGGCTGTCGAAATCCTATGGTGCAACCACAGCACCCTCACATAGTACCATTTATTATTATTAATATTATGATGATGTTGATGATGATTGTGATGATTATTATTATTTGAAAAGGTTATTTTAGTGTTAATCCAATCTTAAGTTTTTGTCGTTTTGAAAGTAAAAAAAGTGTTTTTGTTGAAGTGGTCGTAGCAGCCAAACATCTTTAAGTAGCAAACCGAATTTATATAATTAACAATGTTTTTATCACGAATTTTTATCAACAAAGTATTACCACTAACGAATTAAAGATGTTGCAAATTATGACGATTATCCCTTAAGTTCTGGCTAAAGTGAACTTTACCGAGTTTCATCTTGCACCAAAAAAAATTCAATATGTTTCAAATAAGGGTCATTTTGATAGCACAATTTGCTGCAATTGACACCTGATTCTGTTTTCAAATATGGTTTTTTCACATGTTACTGAAGTTGCACTGTAAGACCTTTTTACATGGGTTGGGGACCCCAGTCTAGTGGGGTAGGGGTTTCCTTTGTTTTGTGTCCCCAGAGCGTGAAAACAAAAGAAACCAACCCCACTAGATCGGGGTCCCCCACCCATGTAAACAGGCCCTAATCCGTGGGTTGTTACTCCTGGTGCTACCCCGGTCTAGTGGGGTAGGTTTCCTTTTGTTTTTGTCCCCCAGAGCGTAAGTCGACTCTAATCGAACTCAATCGGTGGATTGAGTTCGATTGAGTTCGGCAATCGAACGAAATCGAACTCACCGAAAAGAAAAAAATCAATCGAACCCAATCGAACGTTCATTTTCGAACTCGTGGATTTATGTAAAAACAGACGTTGAAAATCCATTACCAGATCTTAGAAGCTCGAGTTACTTCAGCCCTGAGTGTAGCGCACGTGTTTTTCGTAAACGAAGCGAAATGCGTGAAATGGCTTCAGATGCGTTGATCGTAAGCTTCAAATGTATAGTCAAAGGCTACCAGGAATGCCGCTTTTAAAGGGTTTTCCGGGCGAAAGAAATAGGCGAGAAAGGTCAGCCTTCCGAATTGTAAACGAGCGCGGACAATTTATAGGTCACCTTCAACGTGAACTGGTTGCTTCCCTGTGGCCTGTAAATGCTTCGATAACTTGGTAAGTGAAGATGTTTGTCAGGGATTGCGGAATATATAAATGTGTGTTATTGAATAAATAGAAAAAGCGCAAGAAAACTTGGTTTGGATTGGTCTTGCTTTTGGGCTTGATTTGTATAGTGTTCAGAGCCAACTCGAACGAAACCATTTAATTGTGTTCGATTGAGTTCGGTTTCCGAACTCAATCGAACTCAGACGGATAGAGTTCGATTGAGTTCGATTTGTTCGATTGAATTCGATTTGTTCGGAAATCGAACTCACTGAAACTGTGGTGTTCGATTTCGTTCGATTGCCGAACTCAACACTTGTCGATTATAAAAATATAAGACATTGTTTTTCAAATTTTCTTTTAAGGTTTTCAAGAGTAAGAACAAAATAAGAATTCGGTGAAGTTTCAGTGTCAGGGAATGTTTCTTGCGCGTTCACCCTTCTCTCGAAGTTGCCACTGCATCCTGCCGTGTTTTGTTCGAAAAACAGGAATAAAAAGCAAAAAAAAAAAAAAACTGAAAAAAACGTCGCTCTGAATCTGAAACTGACGGAATCAGCCACCGAGATTGTCGAAACGTGAGTTCACAATAATTGGTTACTAGGGTAGCCTGAGCGACTGGGCTACTGAATTCTGGAAAGCAGTTACTAACATGTCTTGATTAAAAGCGCAATGGAAAACTGAATCAGTTTACGTGTACTGTCCTGTTGTTTGAAAATTACTTCACCGCGCATTTCATGAGTGCCTGCCACAGAATTTTGATGATTTCGTCCGTCAAAAAAAGTTTTAATGTGAGTTTAGCACTTGTGGCAAAATGGATGGTTGTTTTGGTAATAGTGCTTATACAAGTGAAGTTAAATAAAGAATAATACATAGTCGCGCGGAGATATGGAATTTATCTTCGAGTGTTCACATCGATATCGAACGAGTGAGATATCGAATGTGAACACGAGAAGATAAATTCCATTTATCCAAGCGTCCATGTATTATTCTGTTTATTATATAAACAAGAATCAGCCATTCCATAAACCAAAACCATGCCATATAGTCGAGAACCCGACAAATGTAATTCATTGTTTAAAATACTCCAGTGTAAACTCGGAGCTCTACAAAGTACAGTAAAAAATAAATACAAATATTAAAAATGTCCGGTATCTTGTTCAAAATATAATAGACAAGATAAATGGTTAAAATGTTCTCAAACTATCAAATATCAATAATTTCACATTTAAAAATATCGTATTTTTACGTGTGTTCAGATACCACATTTCTCGGTGGTAGAAATCCTTGTAAAACACTGCAGTTTATATAATAATATTAATTTAAAGCTTTTTACTGATTTTTCCAGATCAAACCATTATGGCACAGAGTGGAAACGGCGCAGCATGGGAGAGTGATGTTACATCACTTGGTACCGGACAACAGCTGAACTTTGATGATGACACACTAAAAGGTAAAGATTCTTACAACTGTTAATAGTGTATCACCAACAGGACTTTAACTTAGCAAAATAATGAGGAATGAAATAAAAGATACAGAAAAGGAAAAAAAAAACCGTCATTTGATAACATTCAACATACGGAAGTGGTTAAAAAGTCAAAGTCGTTTAACGTTGTCTTAACTGAGGGTGGTTTTATCCTTTTATCTAGATAAGGCTTTTTCTAAAATTTGTGGTTGACGACTAATTACTTTATCTTGTGGATTCACCGTTATATACAGTGGTGCATTAGCTCTCGGCAAGTACAAGTACTATTTTCCCGTTAACCGAAGGATGAACACGTATTGCATAACGCCTTAGTAGTGTTCTCTGGAGCTACAAATTTAATGCATTTCCAGCTTTTTAGCATTTTTAACTTCAGAAAGTGAGGAACTGAACGACCAAATTTGCCACTATATCACAAATCTGTGACCAATGTCATGGTCAACGCCATTTATGAATTAACAAGTGACACCATTTGCCAAACCGGGAAGAAATGATCTCTCTCATATATGTTGTTTAGTAATCTCTAGCAAAGAGACGAAGACGGAAATTAAACAAAAAAAAGTTGCACACGGTTTTCCCGTATTGTACTCTTATCTTTTGTTTTCACAATTATAATTCACCATTTTATTTCTGTTTTCTTTATTTATTTTTTCTATCACTTTTCCCACCGAAAGGATCAGTTTATTGTTTTAATCGCCTCCTTCGAATAATCGCCCCCTATAAAGGGAAAATTTGAAATAATCGCCTCCCAAAACCCCACCCCCGCTCGTCCTTTGAGTTCTCGCTTCCTGGTCCTGTTTTTATCCCTCGTCCCGAATATCACTTCCAAAGATCTGCTAAGTGCCGCATCCCGCCTGTTGCAGACCACCTACCCCCCAGCCTTCTTTGTTTGAGGGAAGGGGGTCTGTTACAGGGTTTCCCAAGGCTTAGAGGTGAGTATGGAACAAGTGAGAACTGCGAAAGCTGGAGACCAGCGTGGAGAGCGCAAGCGGGGAGTGATGGGAAGGAATAAGAGAGAAAGCTTCATTTTTTCTCCCCTTCCCATCACAACTTTCGCCCCCTTTCCTTAACAATTAACTCAAATATCCCCCGAAAAGTGATCGCGAGCGACTGGGAACAATGCAGGGGAGGGGAGGGGAGGGGCTATACACCATGAGGTTTAATGACATTTCAACCTGCTTCATTTTTAGCAATAGCTGAGGTGTACAAAACCGAAGGCAATGAAGCGTACTTACAGGAAGATTACAGCAACGCCGTTTACTTTTATACTGAGGGAATTAAAGTAAACTGCAAGGACAAAGACCTAAAGGCGAAACTGTACAGTAACAGAGCTTATGCAAATCTTCGTTTAGGTAAGGCTACTTGTATTTTGAAAATAAAGAAATATTGCTTATTTCTGATTGTTTAACCACTGATGTTGAATGTTTGCCAGTGTGATCACATGACTTGCTTTGGAATGGTCCGTCAGGGGGTTTCCAGATTTCACTGATCTTATTTGCTTTGAGTTTGCTTTGCTGCGTTTGCTGTGAGTAATTTTTGTTTGTTTGCATTTTTAACATTCATAGGAAACTACATTTACTCCCTGGTAGATGGACAAAACGCCAGGGACATTCGACCATTGGCAATCAAACCAATAATAGCAGGTAATTTTAGAAGAATTTTTTTTAACTATTTAGTATCTAAGAAACAGAATGGATCATAATTATACTAGTAATGTTGGCAAGCATTCTATTTACCCCCTACAAAGTTCAAACGTTTAAATAATATGGAAGAAATTAAACTTTAGATTTGGAGTCCAGGGTGTAACAAAGTCATCATCAAATGTTTGTTTGCTCACGGGCTCTTTTATAGTACAAAAATTGGCAATTACGGTTATTCGTAGGCTACTTGCGACATAGTTCTTCATTCTCTTGAACATAGGCACGTATGACGTGCATGAACTATCATGGATGCTTCAGTGTAACTGTACCACGAATGTACCCATTTAAGCCTAATTTTAGAGTGGCTTATTGTTTGAAATTGTCCGGAAATTGGGTGTTGTTGTACATGAAAATGATAAAAGTAGCAAAATGACAGCTTAAAACGCGAAAGTTGCGGAAAACTGAGTCTATCCTTATCGCTATAGAAAACTTATCCTGAAGGATTATATGCTTCTGGTTCATCACACTGCGACAGACATACAAAGATACTAATACACTATAAGAACTCCGACAAATGAGAAATTTTGAGAAATGGCAGGTAGGAAGGGAGCAAGACAAAAAATGTTTTCAACATGCTTTATTTTTACGATTTTAGGGGCGAAAGCGTTTGAGAAGTTAAAACTGTTTGAGCTGGTGATCACTTGGTGTGATCAAGGATTAGCAGTATCCTTTTACTCTTTACATTCTTCCATTGCTGAAAAATGGTTTATTTTCGCAACTTGTTGTATACACTTCCGTTACGATTTGTCTACCATTTTTCTTGACTAACGGTTCAGTGCTTATTTGAGGGCGGTGCTTAGTTATCTAAACTTCTTCAGTACGAATTACACAACAGTACGCGATATTTTTCTCTATTTCTTTGTTTGTTCAAAAGCGACCACAAAAGCACAGAAAAAGTGGAATTTCTAATAAAAGTTAGTTTTTAAAAAGTTTGTGTAGCAATAACAGTGTCAACAATATTAGTCTTGTTAGCGTTTCAATATTAACAAGAGAGGATTATCCCCTCTTTATAACCATGTTGCAGGGAAAATGCTGCGTACAGTCAAACCTATATATAACTGTCAGCCTTGAGAAATGGGTGACCGCTATATATATATATATATATAGGTTTCCTTTAAATTCAACTGGATATTGAGTTCGTTCAACGCTTGTAGGTCCCCCATTCGATTGCCATGAAAAGGTTAACTGATTCGACGATTTTGCTAGCATTCATTTTTCCGTCTACTTTGGAGCACACATCTTGAATTTTATCCTTTATTTGATCGTCATCCAATTTGTGGACCGTTATAAACAGGTAAAAAATATAATCGAATTGTTCATTTTGGGAGTCTAAAGGGTGACCGCATCCGTTATAGAGAGGAGACCGTTTTAAACAGATCAACTTACAGAACATGTATGGCAATATATTCGGAGAGTTGTCCAGTAGCCGTAGTATACTGGGTGACCGCTATATAAGGGCCGCTATATGCAGGTTTGACCGTATTTTTTTTGTTTTTGACTTTAGGCTCCTCATAAGGGGTAACGCTCTTATAGTTATATTCAACCTATGGCAAGTATACTTTACTTCAACTTAATTTCGAAATTACTATTTACACCTTAACAATTTGGAAGATCGACGAAGAAAACACCACGTTGCTTGAACTAAGGAAAAAAGCGACGAGTAGAAGAGCCGTGGAAAACGAGGTATTTTGTTTTATTTCTATAAAATAGCATTTTTAATTGTTTTGATTAAGCGCTCGAAGTGACCTTTGATATTACTGATATTACATGGTTGATTCTAATAGAAGAGATTCAACAGCCGGATACCACCATTTGTTCCTTTTTGGCGGAAGTTAATTTACAGTGAATGGTTAGTTCGTCTTTCTTCCATCGAATTAATTTCGATTCAACCGATGATGGAACTTGAAAAAGTCACATATGAGATTTCAAGGGTTTGAGCAATTGATCGAAGTTAATGTCTATTTTACAGAATTGCCCAATTAAAGTAAATATTAGTTCATAACCATTAGAAAAAACACAGTGACCGAAAAATAATTTTCTTAAAGAAACTTTGGGCGCTTTCTCTTCAACCAAAACGTCCACTTTGAATTTTCGGCAACTTCCAGTAGCAAACGGAACAGTATTTTTCAAAACTTCTTAAACCGACGGACAACCTCGCAAGGTATACCCAAATTTTCGAAAATTTTTTAACAGAAGATTTCTTTCCATTCATTTTTGCTCCCGGGATTTCCAGGTAGAATTTTTGGTCGAATGGTTCCCATTTCGGACTGATTCAACAGCTTCCGGTATTTCCAGAAACTTTTCCGGAAAATCTCTATACCATTTGCCGCTGTTTCCAAATTTTCAAAAGTTTTGGCTGAATGTAAAACGCCCTTTGATTCTCTGTACGATAAATTTTAAAGCCGCGAAAATAAATGGACTTTTGGCTTACTTCGTGAGCCGCCAAAGTCAAGGCGGATTGGTCAAATATCAGCTCTTGTAGATTTATCCGCTTAAGAAATAAAGTTCATTGGTAATACTTCTATACTTGAGTATATATACTCTAGAAACTTGCTGTCCGAGCTATATTATGAGCTAATTTATTTCAAATCCACAATCTGGCTCAAGCGAGTAATAGCGGGAGTTTGTATTGCTGGGGATTTGGCTGTGTTAGCAGGGGTCGTCCGAAATATCGAGGTATCCGCAAGCGGATAGTTGATTGCCACAAAAAATCTTGCGGGCTATTTTCTTCCTCACAAAGGGTATAACTTTACATTAAAAACATCTTCTATACCATAACTTGCTTCAAAAGAGGGTTTGTTTTACATTTTTTTCTAGGCATGCCCAGGAAGTAAAGGCAAACATGGAAAACCCGAACAAACTTCCATAAAAAATTGGTTGTACAGTAATTACCTTGGAGAAAAAGCCTTTAAACGCGGTGATTTCAAAGTAGCCCGGGATTACTTCGAGTTGACTTTGAATGAAGCCAGAGAGATCGGGAATAAAGACGCAGAAAGAGTTAGCCTTGGCAACCTTGGCCTCGCCTATCACCATCTGAATGATTTCAAAAAAGCAATCGAGTTTTATCAGCTGGCTCTAAAAATCGCAAAAGATACTGGAAACAAAGATCAAGAAGGAACTATATATAACAACCTTGGCAGTGCCTATAAGTCTCTCAGTGAGTTCAAAAAAGCAATCGCGTTTTATCTGCTGGCTCTAAAAATCGCAAAAGATACTGGAAACAAAGATCAAGAAGGAACTATATATAACAACCTTGGCAGTGCCTATCAGTCTCTCAGTGAGTTCAAAAAAGCAATCGAGTTTTATCAGCTGGCTCTAAAAATCGCAAAAGATACTGGAAACAAAGATCAAGAAGGAACTATATATAACAACCTTGGCCTTGCCTATAAGTCTCTCAGTGAGTTCAAAACAGCAATCGAGAGTTTTAAAAAATCAGCTGGCTCTAGAAAATATATAAAAGATACTTGGAAACAAAGATCATCAGCTGGCTCTAAAAATCGCAAAAATACTGGAAACAAAGATCAAGAAGGAACTACTATATAACAACCTTGGCAGTGCCTATCAGTCTCTCAGTGAGTTCAAAAAAAAAAGCAATCGAGTTTTATCAGCTGGCTCTAAAAATCGCAAAAGATACTGGAAACAAAGATCAAGAAGGAACTATATATAACAACCTTGGCAGTGCCTATAAGTCTCTCAGTGAGTTCAAAAAAAGCAATCGAGTTTTATCAGCTGGCTCTAAAAATCGCAAAAGATACTGGAAACAAAGATCAAGAAGGAACTATATATAACAACCTTGGCAGTGCCTATAAGTCTCTCAGTGAGTTCAAAAAAAGCAATCGAGTTTTATCAGCTGGCTCTAAAAATCGCAAAAGATACTGGAAACAAAGATCAAGAAGGAACTATATATAACAACCTTGGCAAAAAAAGTGCCTATAAGTCTCTCAGTGAGTTGGAAAAAAAGCAATCGAATCAGCTGGCTCTAAAAATCGCAAAAGATACTGGAAACAAAGATGGAGAAGGAACTACATATAACAACCTTGGCAGTGCCTATCAGTCTCTCAGTGAGTTCAAAAAAGCAATCGAGTTTTATCAGCTGGCTCTAAAAATCGCAAAAGATACTGGAAACAAAGATCAAGAAGGAACTATATATAACAACCTTGGCAGTGCCTATAAGTCTCTCAGTGAGTTCAAAAAAGCAATCGAGTTTTATCAGCTGGCTCTAAAAATCGCAAAAGATACTGGAAACAAAGATGGAGAAGGAACTATATATAACAACCTTGGCAGTGCCTATCAGTCTCTCAGTGAGTTCAAAAAAGCAATCGAGTTTTATCAGCTGGCTCTAAAAATCGCAAAAGATACTGGAAACAAAGATGGAGAAGGAACTACATATAACAACCTTGGCAGTGCCTATCAGTCTCTCAGTGAGTTCAAAAAAGCAATCGAGTTTTATCAGCTGGCTCTAAAAATCGCAAAAGATACTGGAAACAAAGATCAAGAAGGAACTATATATAACAACCTTGGCAGTGCCTATAAGTCTCTCAGTGAGTTCAGAAAAGCAATCGAGTTTAATCAGCTGGCTCTAAAAATCGCAAAGGATAATGGAAACAAAGATGGAGAAGGAACTACATATAACAACCTTGGCAGTGCCTATCAGTCTCTCAGTGAGTTCAAAAAAGCAATCGAGTTTTATCAGCTGGCTCTAAAAATCGCAAAAGATACTGGAAACAAAGATGGAGAAGGAACTACATATAACAACCTTGGCAGTGCCTATCAGTCTCTCAGTGAGTTCAAAAAAGCAATCGAGTTTTATCAGCTGGCTCTAAAAATCGCAAAAGATACTGGAAACAAAGATCAAGAAGGAACTATATATAACAACCTTGGCCTTGCCTATAAGTCTCTCAGTGAGTTCAAAAAAGCAATCGAGTTTTATCAGCTGGCTCTAAAAATCGCAAAAGATACTGGAAACAAAGATGGAGAAGGAACTACATATAACAACCTTGGCAGTGCCTATCAGTCTCTCAGTGAGTTCAAAAAAGCAATCGAGTTTTATCAGCTGGCTCTAAAAATCGCAAAAGATACTGGAAACAAAGATCAAGAAGGAACTATATATAACAACCTTGGCCTTGCCTATCAGTCTCTCAGTGAGTTCAAAAAAGCAGTCGAGTTTTATCAGCTGGCTCTAAAAATCGCAAAAGATACTGGAAACAAAGATGGAGAGGGAACTACATATAACAACCTTGGCAGTGCCTATCAGTCTCTCAGTGAGTTCAAAAAAGCAATCGAGTTTTATCAGCTGGCTCTAAAAATCGCAAAAGATACTGGAAACAAAGATGGAGAAGGAAGTATTTATAACAACCTTGGCGTCGCCTATAATTCTCTTAGTGATTTCCAAAAAGCGATGGAGTTTAATCAGCTGGCTCTAAGAATCGCAAAAGATACTGAAAACAAATATCAAGAAGCAGCTGTATATAACAACCTCGGCGTCGTCAATCAGTCTCTCGGTGATTTTAATAAAGCGATCGAGCTTTATGAGCTGAGTCTAAGAATCACAAAAGATACTGGGATGAAAAATGGAGAAGGACCTACATATATAAACCTCGGCGATGTCTATAAGCGTCTCGGTAATTCCAAAAGAGCGATGGAATTTTATCAGCTAGCCACAAGTATAGCAAAGGAGACTGGAAACAAAGATGTTGAACAATGCGGATATGATAGACTTGCTCAAGTTCTTTGGTGTCTTGACGAGTACTCCAAAGCCGAGGAGTGTT